CTTCTATTTCATGGACAGAACACTTCAGAATGAAATTATTCATTCAGGATTTCCAAACACCAGACACAGATAAGCTTGGCAATTGTTTTACTGTCAAATAAACCGCAGTTGAGGCTGTCAGTAACACARACTCTTTTGCATTAAGTTCTTTCAGAAATGAGGCAGCCAAACACAAATTGCTGGTAAAACAAACTGGCAGAACCCCCACTCTGCCCACAGCCAAAAGGATTGTTCCAGCTGTTTGTGCCAGGACATGGAGCAGGGCAGTCCCACTGCTGCCAAAATGCAGCCCCTGAGCTGAGCCCAGCTGTCAGACACATGGATAACCCCTGCCACGCTGTCTTTGCATGTTTCAAAGAAGCCTGAGACTATTTGCTGGGCAGGAAAGAAAGATTCAAACCAGTTTTCTTGGTCAGGGTACAAACTTTCAAAYAGACTGAAATATTCCTGGAGAGGCCAAATCCCATGTTCTCTGCAGGGGAGAAGCTCTGAACTCAGAGCAAGTACCRCTACAAGAACAGCTTGACCCAGGTTTTAGGCTCTCCTTTACAAGAAAGTTTTTTAAAAGTAAAAATAATCAAAAACATTAAAACAACAGGGGAATTGGAAATTGCAAGGCACAAGAGTGAGCATGTTTTGAACAAAGCCTTGTACTGTCAGTGCCTTTCTTTTTATTTTCATAAATATGCTATTGAAGCAGCACAAGATCTGTTTTAATGAGTGTTTTGCATTAGCACTCAGGGTGTGTGTATTTGCCTATTCTATAGAATACACTGAGTTACCTTCACATCACTTGTGAGCTCTTCTGCTTCCTATATATGTTTTTTCCCATGAATTTTTGGCTTCTGCTTATAAAAACAAGGCGACTCCTCATTGCTCCACCAGCCTCAAATTGTTTCTCAATAAAAAACAGGAGGCCAGCCAGCCTGAGGCACTTTAAGCACGATGCCTCAACACAGTGAAGTTGCAAATAGAAGGCTCGTCTTATAACTCCAATCTCCCTGACTTTTTGCCATGTCTTCCTGGATGCAACTTATATGGCTGAGCAGAAATTTCTATCTGGCAATGTGGCTCACTTTTGGAAGGWAGCCTTAAATCTGACACCATTTACATCACCACAGACGATATGTGCAAAGTTGAGGGCCAGGGAGGGCTGGGATAGAGCAAAAACAACCGGCTATGTCGGTTCTACAAAACTGTTTACAGCGGGTTTCAAAGGGAGGRTAAGCCCCAGGCTTGGGAGAGAGAGTAGAGATCCTCATTGTTTTCCTATCTGGGAGCTCAGTGTTTCCTACAGCAATGAGAGTGCTTTCTCCATGAGGCTGCTCCATAAAGCCATGTAGGATGGCTCTGAGTCTGCATCTGCTGTCACCAGGGTAGTTTCCCAAAAGTGTTGTTCTCCATCTGAGGCAGCTGGACACCTTCTCCGCCTTGCTGGCCTGACAGGCTCTCATTTCTGTGGGTGGCAGTGAAATTCATTTGCCTTCTGCATTTCAAGCACTGAAACTAAACTTGCAAACACGCAGCTACATCAGATCTTGCCTTGCTAAATGCTGCAGAAACTCCACAAGGCAYCTGAAACTTGGGCACACCCTGCAGTGGCCGTGAGCCAGGCCCGGGTGATCCCATCATGTCTGGGCTGCACTGGCAGTGTGGTTGGCCATCACACCACTGCTTACACAAAGCTCTTCCTCCTCACACTCCTTCCATTCCCACTTTCTGGACTTGCCCCATAATGACATCAAATGGAACTTCACTTGCACGTGTGCTTAGCTGGTCATTGTGGCAACAGCCTGCTTTCAGCACCATTTGAGTCTCTGTGTAAAAAGGACACACGAGCAGGTGGCAGCACCTCACATTTTTTGGATTATGAAGAGATTCTTTAGGAAACAACTACACACTAAGGGCTGCTCTTGCACAGGAACAACACCTGCTTCACTGGTAAACTGGCCTGAATTGCCAGCCACATGCTTTTGGGGCTGTCCAAAGAACTAGGATGCACAGCAGCTCAGAGCCTTGTTCAGCATCTCCAGGAAGAGGTGGCAGACATGGGAGGAACAGGGCTTCTAGCCAAACTGTTAACTCTCCTGAGAAACTGCCCTTGGGAATCATGGGCTGTGGGAAAACTTCTACAGAGAGCTGAGTTATGAAGGGTTTTAATCACAGCTTCCTTGCACTGCAGGAATCTTTTAAACACTTCTTTGTGGCTTTCTGTGACAGCAGGAGCCCTGTGTTAAGTTCTTTGTGCTCTATTCTGAAAACAGCAAATAGAGAAGAGCACATCATTCCATGGAGTCCTTTGCAACTGAATTCCTATAAAATGTCCTCCCAAGTGATAGTTTCAACTCTTCTCAAAGCCTTTATGGATTATTCTGTTGCACATTCCAAGCAATTAACCACCTCATTTGTCTTCTAGTTGAGACACTTCCCTATAGCATGCAGCATTTCAGGGTCTAYTACAAAGTGTCCAGAAAAATGCAGGAAAAGTTATGTTTCTCATTTTTCTTTAGTCAAATGTCAAATTCACCAGGAATTCATAGATATTTTGTTCACTTTTTTTTTTTCTTTTTCTTAAACTACTAAATCTGTGTAACAATCTAGCAAAATCGTGATTGAAACCCTTCTTCAGGGCCCAGGTAAACGAAAAAGAACACCATGGAGAACCCAATGAAACAGGCACACAAAGGGTGCTTAACCCTGTCCAAACCCTCAGAAAGATCCAGGCAATATTTGACAGTGTGGAGCARGAGAGTTGCCTAAAAACAAAGCACTTCTCTGCACTCATGCTGTCTACTGAGATAGAAACAGCAAAGAAACCAAAGGACATCGAAGTTACAATGAATCTGAACCTAATTTCTTTCAGTCTTGGCATGATTTCCTACTACATGCCAACTGAATATAGTTTGGTTGGGTAGCATTTGTCAATGAAATGCCAAACATTCTCTTCCACTCACATCACAGGACATCTTTCTCCTTAGTGGCTTACTCTGTAGTCATTAGTGTGTATGAAGAGAGAGGTCTGACTAATTCATCCACAGGTGTCACCCAAATGGAAAACCTGGGAGCAAGTGCTGCAAATTTGATCTCCAGCCCAACCATCCTAATATTCAAAACAACCTGAAAAGGGTACACCACAGGCTCTGAATGCCTTTTTACTCATTCCTTGCTGAAGAGCCATGATGGCCAGAGAGGAAATTCAAATACTCTCCTCAGAAAAGAGAACATTTAGGCATACAAGCCACATCACACTAATCAGGACCAATGGAACCTACAAAAATGTTACCACTTGCTCCCTGTTCCTCTCTCCCTCTTTTCTGCATCGGGATGGAGAGGAGATCCGGAACAACACAAAGTAAAGATCACAGGTTGAAATAAGAACAAGTTACTGGAAACAGCAATGAGATAGGAAAAGGAACAGTAATAGCAACTATATTAATGACAAAAGGGTACAAAAGAGAGGGTGATTCACATGCAGAAATGCTTAGGACCCCAACATCACCCACTGCCCCTACAATCCTGCCCTTCCTGGCTACTGCAAAAATTAATCCTGTCCTRGTTGGAACTAGGACAATACTTGAAACATGCCACCACAATTCGATATTGATTATAATAAAAAWTAATAATGATCACAAAATAGTTTTTTAGCATTTTTTATTACAGTTTTGGGTAATTGTAGTACATAAAACAGAGTATAGCAGGTTTTTTTACCAAGAACAAGTAATTTTTGCTATCAACTATAAAGCACTGCAAATTCAAAAGTAYTTTTACTCTAAAATAAAAACCATCACAACATGGTAACAGAAAAAGAATCGTGGCCAGTTCAGCAAGCCACCAGACAGCATCTACCTTTTGTTCCCAAGTCTTTCTGCTACTCAAATCTTTGTTTTACCAGCAGCTTTTCTGAGAAAATTACTCTTGCTTTTCATATCTTAGCACAAAACCATGAGTTTCAAGACCATCCCAAGAAAAGTGAAGGGGGAATAGACTTTYAGAGACATCAGGCACACTATGAATAATTGCCCCAAAGGCTTGGGAAGAAGCAGCAGTTAATTATCTGGCTTGAGTATTGCAGCTAAAAAGGCTAGTGCCMTAAACTTGTTTTTTCCCATTAAATACCCAAACAAAATATAAAAATACTTCTCCTGCTGAATTTTTAGATAATTTCTTTTTTGCTTAAGAATCAAAATAAATGCTTTATCCTGATCAAATACTTTGATATGTAAATATTTCAAAGGATCACTTGTTGCCTGATATAATTTCACAGATGGTGACTAAACTGCACCAAAAAAATGGACAATCTGCTCTTGTTCCCACATTTAAAAYACAGGAAAAAACTATCAACCCAATATACAGAGAGAAAGTGACATGTACAACCAGGGTCCTGTGCAGACCTTTTAACATTTCACAGTTTTTCTTCAAGTACAGGCTCATAGCAATAGAAATAAATAAGGTGGTGAGGAKTGTTCTCTGCCAATGCTGCTACATTACTTTGGTTCTACATTTCCTATTGAAAAAGAAGCTCAAGAATTTAGAAGCACATGTTTTTCCATCCAAGTTTTATATGTAAAGATTTGACAAAATGGGACTTACCTTTTCTGTGCATCTCAGCACACAAAAAGGTTCTCATTTTCAATTTTGTCAAGGTTAGGGAAGGTCAAATGAATCATGTCAAACTTTGACAGTAATTACTTTTGAAAAGAGAGCTGGAGCACCCCAGCAAAGGCTATGATGCAGGGTTTTACTTCACATTTTTACAGAGATTCAATCATAAAACAGTAGTTTCAGGCAGGTAAAAATTTCACTTGCTTAACAGGTTTATATTTAATCTAGCCACTGAAGTASCACTGGAATTATACATTAGCTGTAGAAATTCTATTATTTTTTTCCAAAGAAACATTAAAACTATTATAAAAGTCACAGCTGCACCTGAGCTCAAAGAGCTGAAAGAAATTGCAATTCTACCTATGTTTTATTAGCTGCTCAGATAAGAATGTTTTATGATAGATCAGATGAAGAAATCTGATTGCTGKCTTTATCAGAAGCAGCAGACAGCCCAAGGTGTGTCGCTGCTTGCCCTGGCAGTCACCACCTGGGCAGTTGTGTGATTACAGGGTGATTACTTGCTGCAAACACAATACCAGGCGTGATCTGGGGCACAAGTCCAACCAAGATAAAAAAGTCTCCTTTGCTATCACTATCAAGAAAGTGACCTTGGCCTAATAAAAAATCAGRGACACTTCTGAAGTAATACTGCTGACTCCATCTTGGAGCAAGAAGTTAAATTTGCATTGATCCTGTCGGGAACAGATCACTTTTAAAAACAGAAGTGTGCTAATACATATTTTTCCTACAAGTAACAATTTGCAATGCCCTAAAAATAGTATGAAAATACTCACTAGGGATTATATATTTTTTTTATGCCTTTGGATATAGGAAATACCTATGCATAGAAAACTACTCTTTGGAGTTTACCYCATTCAAAAATATCAGCATTATTAAAGTTTATTTGGCTAAAATAATGCCAGAAAAATAGCAGGAGTGATTTTTATTGACCTACAASAAATTCTTTAAAATTACTGCAACAGAGTAAGAGATTTTAAGAAAATAATAACCCTTGAGGTTAAATGTAAAATAAATAATGTCTGTCATGTAACATATGGTGTGTCTCCCGCAGAGGCATTTCCTCTTCTTTCTTTTGCTGAAACACAAGGCATGCTTGAATTTTCATTTGATATTTGCAGAGGCCAAGGAAATCCTCTGCTGTGAGCAGAGATAGAGAAAGGGCTGCTGGGTCTCCCACACACATGTAAACACTGCAATATATATAAAATTAACCTTGCAGGGGTACAACCTTAGTGAGGTGACTGTTACCTGGCACTGAAAAAGGTATCACTGRCAGCTGTTTATTTCTAAATGAAATACAAAGTTAAAAGCAGGSAGCTAATAAGGTATATTAAAAAAATATTTTTATCTAATGCTGTATCAAGCTAGAAAACTTTTAATGACTATTTTGTATATCCCTAATATAACGGGAAATCTAAAATAACTTCAATATAAGAAGGTCTAAAGAAAATGAAAGTCAAATGTGTATAATGTATAAAATACGAACTTACTACGTGAGATACATCTCACAAGATGTTACCACAAAACATTCCCACATTCAATTCTACAGCAAGCACCAGATCACATGGGAGCAAGAGGCATCCTTTCAGCTTCCACCACTGCAATTMAGCTCCAGAAGGTCTCCTGTGAGCTTCAGGGCATAAAGTAATCTAAAAACAAGACAGGAAAATACCATTTTAGATCAGCTGTCTTCTCACCTTTGGAAATCTGAAAGAACTGCACACATTTTCTAAGTCACAAGGAAACTATGAACTTCATAATGAGTTTCAGAACCTGTTTAAACTATTTCAAAGACTTGTTCCATAGTTCTTACCAGTGTATATTGTATTGACTTTCTGGAATATTTTCATATATACATGCATACAACATCACACTGTTTAATTTGACTCCAAGCCATTTAACTTTGCAAACAGCAGTTAATCCTTATAAATTAAAATTAAGACTGAAACCTATGGAAGCCCATTTTGTAAACATGTTTTCAAAACTTCTTAATACCAAGCAAATTGGTGAGCATCTAAAGGAGAAGCTCTTCAAGCGGCTATTTGAACATCTTACCCAAGAATTTATACATGGTGCCCATGAACTGCGCTGCTGTCACCTTCTCCAGTTTGCATCTGCATTTGCATCTGTGCCTGCATTCTTGCAATCATCTCCTGCATGCGACGGAGCTGGAAAAACAGCACAGAAGAGTTCTGTAGCCTGATCTCACCTCAGAATATAATTCTTCACTRTTATCATGGTATTACTTATTTTTATTAAAGAGGGATCACATATCTGCATTTTCTTTATCTGACAAGTAAATGATTACAGGTTATGGCATCTTTTACTGTTCTTCATCCCTGAAGAGGCTGGCATTTACTGACTGAAGTAARTAGGCTTTATTATTGTACTGCGGAATGGAATTTTTAAGCATCCCTAAATGGAAATCTCTGAAGTTAAATGTATAAAAATGATGGTTTGAAGTACTCAACATGCATTTACACTTTACTGAAGTTTATTGGAAAAAAAAAGCAGCCTGTTTATGTCCCTCCAAACTATCTGTCAGCAAAAATAAAAAACCTCAATTGTCAGGATTACGCCCCAAATCCCTTACTAGCAATGACTAGGTGTAAGCAAGTATGACCACCAAACCATCCAAWGAGACATAAGCATTATTAACCTTGGTCGAAGCTCAGTTTTAGAGTATTGCAACATTTAAACACAAGGAAARTATGTAACTCACCKACTAAGATTAATTGAACCGTGTTGYACAGACATTACTTRAATCATTTTATTGCACCCAAYACTGACTGGCAAGTCAACMTCACTGTGGAAATAATTTTGGGTGTCTGTGCACTTACACTGCAAACTCAAACTAAACTGTTGAGCTTAACAATAAAGCTCAACCTGTAGAATGTTTACACCATACTTGTTTTTCATATTGCTTGAAACCTCAACCCTTTTCATKTTCACTTTGGCTATATTTTGGGACTTGAATCCCCACTAAGATCACTAGCACAAGTCTGCTTGTGCTCAGGCAGGCTAAGGAGCTCATCTAACACAGCTCTCTCCCCAGTACTGGCTCTTAGGAAGTGCATGGAAGAGCCTGACAGCCAGGTGCCCACTCCCAATACTTACCCACACATGCTCAAAATCTAGAATCTGTCTCCWTTGGAGTTTGCCAAACCAAAAAATTTTACTTTTGCATTAGTAAGCACGTTCATGGAAAAAGCARATTCTCCCATCTCAGCATTTTGGAGCTTATCTGCTCAAAAAATATTGTGCTTTGTACAAATTCCATACTAATGAATACCACAATTATGGTATTATGACTTACAGACTATGTTAGAAGTATCTTTTTAGATTKAAATCAGCCATCTATTAATCCCATCAACCATGAACTCTTGCATGTGCAGTAGATTCCCATTCATCCTGACATGTGTGATCATGTAAGGACCTTTCSCTTCTGTCACCTACTTCTCAACAAGGCCATTAATCTCATCTACCCTAGTACAGAAACTGCTCAGGTGTTCAATTCAGACTTTCTGCCCACTTTTTGCTTTTCATTGCACTTTTTCTAGTCTTGTCTATCTACATCCTTTTTGGGTTAGAGGAACCACAAAAGCAGCATCAGAGAAATGCATTATGAATTTCTCTTTGTGGCAGAATGAGAATTTCAGTTGTGTTTTTTATTCCTGACCATTCCTACCATCATTCCCTCTTTTTCTGCTGCAGAGCTGAACTGACTCTGTCCCAATCTGCAGTTGATAACTGTAGAACATTTACTCCCATGAGGATGSTTCTCCTTGCCCACACAGCATCTTACATCCATCGCAATCACTTCAATGGAATCATGTTTTACCAGATTCCACTTGTTCTGAAAAATCCCTATCCTGAGTCTCCTCTCACCTCTTCACACTGTTTTCTCAGTGAACCTTAAATAACTTTATATTTCTGGTGTAATATTGTTTTGTATTAGTATTGTTAGTACTGTATAGTATTGTATTTTGTATTAGTATTGTTATGTTGACATATAACAGTTTTTCCTTTATGAATTACCAAGATCATATAAATATTTGCTCCAAAGTARCAACAAAAGAACAAAAATACCCCCATTACAAGAGTACAAAGTTCTGTCATCTTACTTCTGCTTCCTTCTCAAGCAGAATCTGGTCTTTATTTACTTCTTCATCTTCTATTTTCCTAAAATAATATGAATATTGTTAGAAACATAAAATCATTACATTTGGAAAAGCACTCTAAGATTGCCCAGTCCAAGCATTAACCCAACATTGTGTTCACTGCTGAACCATGTCCCCAAGTGCCACATTCACAGGCATTTTGAACACTTCCAGGGATGGTAGCTCCACCATTGCCCTGGGCAGTCTGGGCCAGTGCCTGAACACCCTTTCTGTGAAGAAATTTCTCCTTATATTCAATCTAAACYTCTCTGGTGCAATTTGAGGCCATTTCCTGWTGCTCATCRCTTGTTACTTGGGAGAAGCAACTGTCTCCCACCTAGTTTTATTCAAGATTACCTCCCACTTTGCTAATAGCTTTCTCCTGCTCCATGTCACAACAGGGAAGAGCTACTAATGGATCTAATCAAGCAAGTGCCATCAAATATGCATAGCAAATGAAGTGGTGTTTGCTAAAATGTTACCAGAGAAACAGATTGTAATAAAGTCCACTTTGGGGCACCCAAAACTTCTGAGAACATTAGTGAGTGCAGTCAACAAACACCTATTTTGCCAAGCATTCCTGGTAGCAGAAGTGCAAGCTTGAAAAAAATTCACATGAAATCTACTCTGACTTATAGTAAATTTAACTACGTTCTAGCACCATTTCAGAAATGTGAYAGCAAAGGTATGTGGGCCACTATTCTAGACAAGATACAAAAACACRTTTTAGTTTGGCATATCCAGCTGAACAGCAATTTACTGCCATAGATCATTGGCAAAAGCAACTTGAAACCCTCTAAAAATTGGATGTCCTTAGGTCACTTTACTTCTAAAGCCTTTGTACACACCTGTTGGGTAACAGGCACCAGAAGCTGAGAAATGTGGGGACTTTAAAATTCAGAAATCAGGATTTAAAGTCAGGAGACAAGAACATTTTCTCTTGCTGGAATGTAGGCCAATGCCACAAGCAGGAACAAACTCSTTTTGCTGAAAACTAACCAGGCATGTGACAAAATCTCTGTCAAAAGTAGGATGGGAAAAGTTTTACAAAATGCCCCAAAGTCCCCAAAATGTGCAATTTGGAACCCTCTAGTGGCTGTAATAAGCAACACAGCTGAAACACCTAAACTCACCAACTCATCTTTACAAACCCTGCTATTGTACTTAAAAATGGAGTATTTTGCCCGGGTTTCTTTCCAGAAAAGCTGTGCCCTATGCACCCCAGCTCAAAATAAGGCTGACAGCCATTACCCTGTGACTGGTATGTAGAGAAAATTATTTATGTATGTCATGTTTAATAAAGCACCTCAGAAAAATTAGATCATCTCTTCTCAAAGACACAACCCAAATTTTCCAGTTGTTAATTCTGAAACAAAACCCACACTTTTTAACATATCAGCTTTAATCTAGTTCACAGATTTTTTTAAGACAACATTTATCGTAGACATCTGTCCTACTTAGCACCTTCGGCATTCCAACCCAACTATGTCCAAGCCTCAGACCAAAGCACAGAACTAACTATTCCCACAATTCTGTAACTCCACAATTGTCACTTCAGATTTAACAAACACTTTTTGTGACGCTCTTTGTAAGCTGGTTGATGGAACTTGGTGTTAACTGGAGCTACAGAGCTGCCCTTGATCTACCAAATCCTAGCAATGCAGTGGTAGGTGAGACATAGAGAGAGCAAAACATAAATTAAGAAGAGGAACAAACAGCATGTAACCATGAGATGACAACCTGTTGCCTCGTTTGAGCCTCTCAGAGCGGAAGTTCTCATAGTGAAGATCCTGGGTCACCTCCTGAAGGTCTTGCATATGGGTGCTGGAGGAAGAAAAGTAATTAAAAGATRAAACATCCCTATGTCACATCAGTTTGCTTAAGCAACTCTCGCATTCAGCACTGTCTTGGATCGATGCGCTCAGCATGCACACCCACTTAACATACTAATTTAAAAACTAATTTCAGTTAAATTACTGCAGTRAAGGACACAGAGAGCCCTGGGCTCATCCTCAGCCCCAAGACTTCCCTGACAGAGGCTACACTCGGAGGCGAGGCCTTTGATGATGCAGAGCCAGGGAAACAGAGTAGCAAACACCAGGGGAAAAAAACAACGCGTAGACTTTTGAAGTCTGCTCCTTTGCAAGAGTATCTACTTATAGATACATTGAAATAAGCACAAAGTATCAAACATTCCGTTTAATGTTCCTGGGGATCTGAGCAGCAATACARCACTGTGTTCGACAGAACATGGGGCCTCTGTGGTCCAATCCCTGACAAGGCTTAGCTCAACTAGGTCAYGGCTGCTCATGGCCTTCCCCACATAAATTCTGAATGTCTCCAGGTATTTCACAACTGCTTCAAACCCCCAGTACAGTGCCTGATTATCCTGGAGATTGTTTTCTAAACTAGCATTTAATTGGAATTTTTTAACTTACATTAACATGGTCCTCAGCTTCAGGAAGTCATTGTGCTCTGGATTCTCCACTTCAACTACACCCCATGGGTAGAGCCGACCTCTAACTTTTTTACCTTTTGCTTCAATGAGTTGGTTGGACCCCACTACACAAAATGGAATGCTGGCCTGAAAACCAAAAGTGCAAAAGTTACTTATAATGAACCAGGACAAACAGCTCCAAGAACAACTCTTGCTCTGYTCAGCTCTGCATATTATGGTAATAAGTTTATAAATCTTTTATTTTGAAGGTGTAAAATAAATAGCAGTAATTGCTGCCATCATCTTCCAGCTAGGGAAGCCTGTGTAGAGACATGGTKATTCACTACAGATTGCATTGCAGCTCTTGTTCTAAAGCCATCTGAGCAGCCTGAAAAACTATATTATCCACGTATGTAAACTATGAAGCCAGTCACACCTTCAGGAGTCTGGTCTGCTCTTTAAAATCTTCATCCTCATCTGATTCAGCRTCAGGCAGGTGATAAATCTTGATGCCATGCTCTTCTATTTCATCCAGAATCTGAGATTTGCAATAAAATAAATCAATATAATATACAGGTAGAATGAGGACTTTTAGATCTTGAACATGAAATTACTTAACACACAGTCTCTTAAGAAATCTGAATTTATCTTACTGATCCCAATTGCTCAACAAGGATTTGGTTTTAAATACCATATTTCTTCATGATATTCAGCACCTACTTGCCACAGACTTTGAGACAAACAACGGTGCTCACAAAAACATCACCATTTGTGGAAACCGTGTTTTGTCAAAACTTTGCAGGGTTTTTTGTAATAATAAAAGCTTTGACTCAGAAGTCATACTTGCTTTCTACAGCTTAATCTCCTTGCTCTCACCTCTGAATTACTGCTAGGGGGTAGGGGTGAGAATGTTAAAAAAAATGAAATATAGACATAACAAATACATTTTTCTGTCTTCATGACTGCCAGTGAAGGCATTTGCAGCTGGAATCCATTTGCCATAGACCTAAATTCTGCTCTTTAAAAAAGAATAATCTTTATTTCTGCAGAACTCTAGCACAATAAATGTAAATGTATCTGCTAGAGTATACCGTATACAGTTTCTGTTTTTATTACAAATTGGGTAAGATAGCTATAAGGATTTTCAGAATAACTGACAAAAAATCATGAAGTTTTCAATGCAAGAGCTAAGACTGGAGCATGCCTTTTGACAAGTTAATCCTAACACTTCTTTCTAAACTTCTTAGCTGTTATTAGCTCATGACGGTTTGTTGAATTCCACCTCCTCCCAGCAAATACAGCATCAAGTTCTGCAAGACTGAATGTGTTAAGAGGTCTTGCCTCTGAAACAAAGAACTGGAATGCTAGAGAAGGAGTGATATAGGAGAAGAAAAACAAYCCCAAAATAAGAAACATCTCTGTAAATCCCTGGCTTTAACCATCAGAATTCTGACAGGCTAAAAAAATATATACATATGCAAATTSTATGTGCAGGTGCTATCTCTGCTTTGGGACTGATTAAACAGGTAAGAGAGCAATTACCATCAGCAAATGTATTTAAATATATTTTCAAAGTTTCAAAATTCACTTATAATCTAACTGTAAATGTAGCCAGTCTGCCATTTTGCAAACAACATTCTAAGGACGATTTCTCAGTTAAATACATAACAAAATAATTTATAAAATAACCAACTACATACTAAATGATGCTACACTGTGCATGAGATTGTTTTTTCCTCAGCTAGGACAGAGTAAGGTTAATGAGAATGGCCCTCTCTTCAGCCACCATGCTGCTACAATCAAAGTACAACACATTTCTGCAAGCTGGAAAAACACTCACCCTCTTCTTTAGTCTCTCTCGCTCTTTCAGAGAAAGTGTATCAGCTTTTGCAATCACTGGTACAATATTTACTTTATTGTGTATGGCCTTCATAAACTCAACATCCAGAGGCTTAAGGCTAAAATAAAAAYATGGAAAATTTTAATTTCTTTTTACTCTACATTACCAATTTATTTTCACTCCAACATAAATATCTCTCTTTACATAGAGAGAAAGAAAACAGCCAGTTAATAACAGCAGTTACAGCAGTTGCTTATGTAATGGCAACCTGATTCTGAAAATTTAAGTCAACAGGCACAAACGAACTCTATAAAATAAAATAATACAAAAAAAAAAAAAAATGGAGAAACACCTACCCATGACCAAATGGTGAAATGAAATAGAAGCAGCAATGAACTCGATTATCTATGATATGCCTTCTGTTCAAACCACTCTCATCATGCAGGTATCGYTCAAACTGCTCATCAATGTAAGAGATTATGGTCTTAAAACTGTAAAACAAACACTGATTTGAGAAATCACCAAATAGACGACAACTTTAGTATCATTTCACAAGTAATATTAAACCACCAAGATACCCTGCTGATGAACCAATCTTCTGATGGACAAAAATTCATTTACTGATTCTATAGGACTGGAAAAACAGAAGAGCAAATATTTTAAAATTTTAATTGAATTCTAGAATAACAAGCCACTATGCATATTATATATATATAAATATATGTATACAGTAAGATAAAATATACATAACCCAGCCTCAGTTCTACAACAAATTTCTCTGGGGTTWGTATTTATATTTTGATTAACATTAACCACACATATTCAAAATAATTTGAGGCTCTTGTTCCAAATTGATTTAAAATCATAAATGGTTTGTTTTGGAAGGGATCTTTAAAGATCATCTRGTTCCAAGCTACTGTCATGGGCAGGGACACCTTCCACTAGTGCAGGGTGCTCYAAGCCCCCTCCAGCCTGGCCYTGAGCACTTCCAGGTATGGGRMAGCTACAGCTTCTCTGGGCAMCCTGTGTCAGTGTCTCAACACCATCACTGCAAAAGTCTCCCCTACATCCAATCCAAATCTACTCTCCATTTCAAACCTTCGCCCTTGCTCTGCCACTACAGGCCCTGCTATTAAGTCTCTCTTCATCTGTCTTGTGAGCCCATTTGATATATTCAAAGGCCTCAGGAAGGTCTTCCTGGAGTTTTCTCTTCTCCAGATGGAAGCCCTACTCCCCCAGTCCCTACTACTGTTCCAGCCCTTGGATCATTGTTGTGGTCTTTCTCTGCTTCAATACGTCCATGTCTCGTGCTAGAGCCCCAGAGCTGGATGCAGGTCTCACAGGAGTGCAGTAGAGGGGCAGAATTCCCTCCCTCAACCTGCTGGCCACATTGCTTTTGATGCAGCCCAGGATACTAATGGCTTTCAGGGATTGCCTGCTCATATCCAACTTTTGTCCACTGGTGTCCTGGTTCTGGCCCAGATCAGCAGGAGGGGGCAATTCCAGAGAGGAGCAACTTATTGCAGTGTGCTGGGCTCTGGCTTTTATTTAGCAGACACTGCTCATCACTAGAGAGCCCCCTCAGAGGAGGAGGAAAGTAGAGCAACAGGCACCGTGGTCACTCCAACTACACAGGAACCACTGGAACAACCTGTGCCAGGAACACTTGCCCCTATACAGAAGAAGAAATCCAAGACTAAATCAGATTGCTTAGCAAAGAATGAAGAGGAAGCAGAGTCCTCACAACAGGAGGAAGAGGCAGGGCCAGAGATAATCACYCAATTGCTATCCCTGGTGAGCTGTAAGATATGCAAAAATATTTCAGCTGCCATTTGGGTGAGMCCCTGGCAATGTGGCTGCTCTGATAATAGGAGATTGTGGCCCATGGTATGGAACCAGATGGTAGTGAAGCAACTGGGATCCCTGTCCTGGGATGTGGACATTGACAAGGGGATTGGGAAGAGGACAGAAACTCTCAGCTCTGGTGGCCATTCCTGTCAAGCGTGAAGGAAAGATATTCTCTCGAGGATTATCTAATAGTGTGACCATGCAGGTGGAACACCATGAAGGAAGSTATCCAGTACCTGAGAGAATTATCTGAGCTGGAGGGAATCTAAAGGGGTCCAAATAACCATCAGGCCCCTGCAGATCCAGATGAGGTCTACTGTACACAATCCACGTGACAGAAGCTTGTAGGACACAGGACAAATAAGAAATCTACATCAATCTTCATACATGGAACATGATATATTCTCTGTGCACGTACCAGTCTCGACAATTGATGGCATCCCCATACCCTGGTGTATCTACAACCGTCAGCCGCAGTTTCACGCCCCTCTCTTCAATTTCAACTGTTGAGGCCTCAATCTGCACTGTGCGTTCAATCTTATCTGAAAGACAACAAAGTCAATCTTTCAGAATCAAATTTGTCAGACCATGTCATTTTGAGATAAACTCCAGAGATTAATTGGCAGATAAAACAGCATAAATATTATTCTATCGATTACATTCTAAGGCCTGATAACAAAAGACTCAGTTCATAAATTCTTCAGACGTTGTCAGAGGACTGTATGAGATCTCATACTTTTCTTAAAAATAATGTAGAAATTAAGGCAAACAGGACCAAGACAAAACCATAGGTAATTGGAGAACAATACAAAATTATACATAATGGATTTTTTTCCTAAGGCTGGAAGTTATAAGTAATCATCAGCTAACACGATAAAACCATTAAAGCAAGTCATTCAACAGGTAGCAAAATGGGAAAAAAATGCATCTTCTATTGTATTACAATACTCTCTTTTGCTAGATTATTGCATGCCTTGAYTWACAGTAYAAAAATAGGACAAGGGAMTGAAGAAGAAYAGGAGGTRAAATTCTCKTTCACTAAATATCAACCTGAAGCAMAGGAATTAAGGTGCAAGCAGGTATAAAAAATTCATGTTTACAATTGCAACAGATTAAAAACCAAATAAATTTTCTGATTGTTTTAATTGATTGTTTATCTTACTGTAACACAATGACTGTTTTTAAGCCAAAGAAGGGATCAAGTTTCAAGGTGCTAATAYGAATACACACAAGGACTAAATAACAAAGACCCCATAGACATCCTGGGCGCAGGAGGAAAACAGCTTTATCAAACAGCTCAAGTGTCAGGAAGTACATCAGAAACTATTACAGCTACAAATCACTGCTGGCTGTTACCAGAATTCAAAGATAAAAGCATTCAACTCAAAAATCCTTGAGCAAARGTGTTATTTACCAGCAGCTCCTGGRATTATCCTTTCTGGGTAAAGATCTGTCAAGAAGAGGCTGTTTATTAATGTAGATTTTCCCAATCCGGATTCACCTGTRATTCAACAAAGAAAAATACAACACATTTACATAAATAATTTCAGGAGTACTTGGACAGTATTATCTGACTGTAATTTTTTTCATATTTCTTTCAAATAAAAAATCTACAATTCATAATTTTTGATTAGCAAAGTTTGCACAAAAAGGTGGAATAACACGTTTTACCTCTTTGCTCTGTAATGCACTTTCCCAGAGCTTTCASAGATTATTTGTAATTAATTCTGCTAGTCAAGTTGAGCTCTGATCCATTTAGACTAAAGATTTCCCATTTCATGTCTCCTGATTTTTTAAGACATGCTTTTCTGTTATCAMTCCAGAATGTGAAATGTCATACACAGCCAGAAGCTATAGCCTGTCAAGGTTATATCATCAATTTAAACAATGAAAAAGGCATTGTATAACTTCTGTACAGCCAGGCATCATAAAGTGGGATTTATTTCTGCTTTTATGCCAATGTGGCAAACAAGAACTCAAAGCAAAAGGAAAATGGCCACAGAGCAATTTTTATACTGATGAATTTGGGGATTACCAACTTATACTGTAAATATGTTTTTATTCTAGAGATACTGATGGCCATGAGGAAAGTTTAGAGGCCAACTAATTAGTTAAAGATCAAGACCTTAATGASAACAAATATTTACAGCACTAAAAAAGGACCAACTTGACACACTCMGTACTTGAATTCACTGAAGAGCTCTTTTTTCTAGAATTTTACTTCTACTTCAGGTGTTGATAGAATTAAATTTAAAAATTAGATGTTWAACAATAATGGGACACAGAATCCCTGAGTAACACAGACTATTCTGCAACTTGAATCCGACAAAAATACCTGAACAAAAGAAAAAAAATAAGATGAAAATTGTTTTTAAACAAAGAATTGAGTAGGAACTGCCAGTTTTTAATGCCTTATAGGGTGCAGCTTTCAGGATCAGATTGTGCCAGTGCAGCCTTCACCAGTGAAGGAGACATGCACSCAGAGTAACTCAGCAGCCACATAGAATCATTTCAGCAAAACCAAAAAAAGTATGATTTCTTCCAATGCCGCATTCCATAGTTTCAGTATGGGTAAATATTACACATACACCAAATCAGTTTTTGTAGACACTGTGAATAATTATATTGGCTACAGTAGCTTAGTGACTATTAAATGAAATAGCTATTTAGATTAAGTCATAGCTTAATAATGAGAATAAACATAAAATTGTTAAGAAATACAAGTGATTGGAATTTCTTTAGGAGCAACACAGCCAAGCAGCCAAGTTTTTATAAACTCTAGCTAATATTTTCAGACACCACAGTAAACAATCGCAGGGGAAAAGAGCACAACCAAAAACATCATGAAAAAGCAAAATCATTTATTAGGAATCTGTCAGCACAGATAGCTTTTAAAGTATTATCCTGCTCAGAAATTAAGAAGGATGGCAACTTCATGAAGAATTGTAGTTCTATACAGGCACAGTGACACAGCCCACAAGAGAACATACTTGAACTCCATGCATATTTGAAGAGAAAGAATTCACATTCCAAACTGTTGAAATAATCAACAATTTAAAGCACAGTTTATTTTATCTTATATCAACTGCCTCCCTCTGCTAGTGTATCTTAAAATGCCACACCAAAGTTTCAATGATACGAGTTCTCTTTCTGTAGTTCTCTTTTTCTGAGTTCTCTTTCTGTAGTTTTCATTTATCCCTTAAAATACTGGGAGACGACAACTGTAAAGTCCCATTTTACTCCAATATGGGTGGATTAATTGCTTTTCTGTTACTCTTATACCATGTCATTTCCCCTCTACTCCTATTTTACAAGAGGCTAGAAACAACTGTTGGTCTATGTAATTTTACATTGCTTTCTCCCAGAACTGTTTTACATGGCACTATTTGCAATAAGAATCCAAAGAGATCTGAAAGTAAAGTTTAGCTCTGCAGACAAAGAACATCTTTTCTTTCTCAAAACTGTTCACACATTTAGGATCATTAAACAGTAAATTCTGAAGAGGTAGAGTAGATACCATATTTTGAAGCAGCTACTCACAGTTTGGCTTTACTCTTAGATTTTATAAGATATCCTTTATGATATTATCCAAATCAAATCCAATGAAAGGTACAGTAAACAACTACAGTAAAATTCTAGGAAGACAAAGATAAGGGCCAACTCTGTACAACACTGAAGAACAAAATACAGAAACAGGACACAAGCAGTGCTAGGTCTGTCATTTGGCAAAACTAATGAAAGGTTTGAGGATAGACTCTCTCTGTAATTACTGAAATCCAAAACAATTAAGAAGTTAATCACCTCCTATCATGCACTATCTCGCCTCTTCCTGTTCATTCCCACTGTGATCTCTCTTGGGCAAATCTAACACACAGATGGGATTTATTTCTTCTGGTGTCAGGTAATAAAGAGCCTAAATCTATTAGGTTACTTTTTGTGAAAGCCTATTTAAAAGCAAGAATTACAGAGTCCAAACACCAAAACTCAGAAATTACAGCTCACAGAAAAAAAAAAGAGGAGACATCCAAGCCTGATTTGGGAGTCTACTTAACTTTCAAGAACAGCAACAGATCTCTCAGAGGATTAACATATTTCTGTAGACACTAGATTTTTCTTTCCATTCTAGATATCAGCACAGATTCTCAATGAATTATCAAACAGAATAACACTTTAGATTACAACTGCTAASATAAAATCATGATCAATGTAAAAAGTAACAGCTCACATCAAAACCAACTGATCCAATTCTCAGTCTTTTACGAGAGTGTTTGGAAGGTTTGAAAAGACTAGAGTTCAAATTCTTTTGAACTGCAGAAGCATAAACAACATTTCAAATAGAATGCTCTCCTTAATATTAGTCTCTTAATCAAAACACACAAGTCAACAAAGATAATATTCAAATGCAAAACCAGTTCAAAACTACATTTTAAATGGAATGCTAAAATTCTGCAACAGGGGGAAGGAAGGAAAAAATTACTGCTGGAGTGCACGAGAAAATTTCTTCACTTCACCCACAAATTTATTATTATATTCAAGTATGGTTTGCAATGTGGTAAACAACTGCTGCAAGAATTGATAAAATACAAAAGAAAGTTAAATGCTACAGCACAATGAAGTTTCTGRTGCAAGCTAAAGCTTTACAATAGTGGCAATAATATAATTTTAACTTTGAATTCCCTGTGAGCAAGCACTAATTTTGAAAAAGACTATAAAACACTTCCTTACCAACCACCATAAGAGTAAATTCAAACCCCTTTTTCACAGACTTTCGGTGAACCTGATTGGGAAGGTTTGCAAATCCAACATAGCCRGGAGTTTCTGGATTAGTAAATTGAGCAGGCTGTTGCTAAAAATGAAATAAAATAAAATAAGACAATAATAAGCAACCACTCAAGATTTACTAGTTTGTATAACTGCTTTCCTTACTTATCTGAAAAAGGTTTGAAGCTATGTGACRCACAAAAAGGAAACTACTAAGAGGTTCCTACGACTCAACAGTTTCACAAAGAAGTGCAGAACTACATTGACCTAGAGCTTTAAAATTTAAAAAAGCTTCATTTATTCAGCTAAGATCACCTTMAGTAAAACAGAAACAAAATCCCAAACAATTATTTATCAAAGTATGACAAAGTATGAAGTGTGGTCACTACGTGTCCACTATATGGACACTTTTAAAAGTGTCTTCCCAGACAGTTAAAATAAAATAGTTTTCTATGAACTTGAATAAAAAGATGACCATTTCTGACCATTTTTAACATATTCAAAGGAAAACCCCAAGCAACTTGTGAAGTGACAGCCATCTGCTGGAAGTGCTCTTCAGAGAGCTCTCTTAAAGTGCAGGGAAGGGGAATTTACACAATAGTGTTACGAATGCCCACTGTTACAGATATGGCAGAGAAATCAYTATCTCTTATTTCCCTCTTCAAATACATTACTCGAGTACTCTATCATTAATTTCATTTCAGTAAGAAAACATGGATGTTTTACCCATCATATCAAATGCTGAGGGCCAAAAATTAGATGAATCCCAGCATGACATTAACCTGAATAATATTTTAGCTTACAACATTTAAAACAAGGGATTTTATTGGAAAAACAGTTGATTCTATTAGTAAAGGAAGAAATTAAATCTAAACCATCATTTTAWTAAATGACTCCTGCTCAAAACAAAGTCACAGAAAGGAAGTCKCAATGAAGATGCACCAGTATACAACTCTGTGACCAAAAGTAAATCCTTCCAAGAGTATTAGTTAATTGTAGAGATTTATAATTGCATGAAACCACTTTAATATATGTTTTACATCACTCATCTTTCAATATTATGTCCCCTAAAGAGAGTAAATTTAGAATATCTTTCACATCAAACAGATGCATGTTGCACATTTTGTCATTGAAGATGAATATTTAAAAACAAAAAATATGTGTCACATTATTGCATYGGAAGACAGAAATGTTATTCTTACCTTAGACATTTTCAGAGAAGGACRGGAAAAAAATCTGAAAAAACAATAATGTTTTTCAGCTTATTAAAAATTGTATAAGAAAAAAAAAAACACCCACAAACCATTGCAATATCCATCATTGCACCCTAAATTGAAAAGGGAGCATCCCTGTTTGGATGTCCAGATTCTGAAACAAYGCCAACTTCTTCACAGAGCACAAGTATTTGACTCTTCTGTACTAACAACAGGCAGAATTTTCAGCTACCATTTCTCCTATAAACACAGTCAGACAATAAATTCAAGCAACATAAAYGTGGGGTGCTGAAGGCACCAGATGTGTGACAAACCATTCTGAAGTGCTGAAAGTACACATCCTTTCCGGAAACTAACCAAACCAAACACCCTAAAAGCTTGCTCTTTACAGGAAACTTTTTTTTCAAAGCTAAAAAAAAAMCCMAAACTCATGTATTATTTTTCTTTTCAAGCTTCTTTCTACTCAACATTTCCATTCRTGTTTGAATGTTTTGTAAAGAGCAAACTGCTTCAAAATGAAACTTTTTTCCTTTCTCTTTCATCTAGATGCTTGCAAACTCAGTCATTCTACCTTCTGTTACCAAGATAATATTTTCACATTAGMTGCATGTGAATATATAAACCACACAGGCAAAAGAAGGTTTTTTAAAGATTTCTTATCTAATACTTCCAYACAAAAAAGTCTCTTAACAAAGACTCACCAACCACCAACTTGAACGAGTTTAAAAGATCATGTGATTTACTGCAGCAACATWAAAATGTCAGCATATGCTGCATCTGCAAGTGATGAGAGCTCAATTCCCCTTTCCTACTCCCTCCTCTGGCTCACCCTCTAACCACAAGGTATCTGTTCCCACTCCCAAAGCCCACAATCACCTCATATCTAGCTTGCACCCATTTTAATTCTACGGATTTGAAATTATCACTACCTGATTCTTTTCATCTTCCAAGCACATTTTTGTCAGCAAGTTCAGTTTTGTGTGAAGTTACACTAAATAAACTGCTTCAGTTTGCAGAACCCTTCAGTCTGTTCTTCCCAGCAAACAGACATCTTGGAATCAAAACAAACTGCCCARTGTTAAGAGAGCAGAAGCCCAACTTTTTGTGCTAGGCACAAGGTAACGTTGTTTCAATATAGGGATGATTTCCAGGATTTTCTTTGCAAAGCTACTATATAGGTGTATGTTTACACAATTGCAACTTCATTTGAGTTTACAAATAGGGAACTTTTCAGCTCAACGTGACTACTTCACTGGTAGCGGTGCAACAGTGCACTGGTAACTTCACTGCAACAGTTGAAGTTGCTTTCCCCAAACACACACCATAAGGAAGAAGTTGATTCTTAGGATGAGTTTTTGATGTGAATTACAGACTGAAGATGTTAAACACTGAAGTCATTTGGCATCTTTTCTCATGAAGCCAAATTGGCTGACAAAAATCTAGCACCCTTTTACTCACACTAAATTAAAAATGGATAACATGTTTCTCAAGTGAAATTTCAAGCCAAAAGTAAATACTAGTATCTGCAACATCTGTATTTCAATCCATAAAATGGTCTATGACCTATGATCTATTAATCTAGTGAAGAAGTTATCCACGAGCCCTCTATCATGTAAGATCGCTCTGATAGCAACTCCTTCTTCCAAGAGTGTTTCCTGCCGAGTGATGTCATTGATTCCTGCTCAACCATTCTCCATGAGAGGTTTTCAGAGCCAAACAAAACTAGACCCCGCCGGAACACAGAAGAACATTCTTTTAAATTGTGAGACTTGCCTGTCACCCAGCTATTTCTCAGAGGCAGGCTAAGGGCAGAGGAAAGTTTCTCACAGCTGCTAAGAAACGAAGCAGGGAGCAGAGTTATGCAGAAGGCTACAGCCACATTATATTTTAACACACGGACCAAGCACAGAAATCTTTCACGAATGGTCTTTCCCACCGTGTTCCCGTCAGGGCTGAGCGCTCCCACACAAGCAGGAGCGCAYCCGAACACGAAGGCCAAGGCCCCGCCTGACCGCATTCCGAGCCCAGGGGGTCGCATGGGGGACTTAGGGTTGCGGCCGGGGTTCAGGAGCCTTGGAGCAGCTCAGATTTTCCTCAGGAGCTGGTTGGTGATGTTCTTCACCCCCCGGTTTGAASAGCGCGGCTGGAGCTCTCTATGAGAGCGTGTTCAGAAGCGACCGTTCTGCGGGCTGTGGGAGGGGCCCCGCTCGGGGGTCCCATGGCGGCCCATACAAGCACCAGATCCCGCGCTGGGCGGGCGGCCAGGGCGCCTCACCTCCCCGGCACCGCCCGCAGCCCCCATCGTCCCGCTCCCTCCTCACCAGCATCACSCAACCTCAACCAAACCCCTCAGGGTCGGGCGTCCGTCTGCGCGGCTGAAAAGGACACATTCCCAGCGCTCCTCCCGGCCAACTCCCCTCATCTCCGGTCCCTTTCCATCCGCGCAGCGGGACCCCGAAGTCCCCCGAGGCAGGGCAGGGCAGGGCCCCTCACCTCAGCGCAGCTCCGCTCAGCTCGCGCCTCCCTCAGCCGCCAGCTCCGAGCTCCGAGCTCCGCTCCCGCGCGCGCACAGCCAGGGGAGGGTGAGGGGGCGGAGCCGCCCCGCAGGCCCCGCCCCGCCCCGCAGGCCCCGCCTCATCCCCATAGCAACCCGCTGGGACGGGGAGGGGCCGCCCGTATGTTGTAGGTCACGCACATCCCCTCTGCTGCAGCAAGATGGCGGCCGGGCCGTCGGCCTCGTACCCAGCATAGGCTTCGCTGCGGGCCGACTAGAGGTAATGCCGGGCCCGGCGCGGGAGGGCGGTGGCGGGAGCGCCTCAGGTGAGCGGGAGGAAGGCGCGGGCCCGGCGGCGCGGCCGGGCGCGTTCCGCCGCCTGCAGCAAGATGGCGGCAGCGGCGAGAAGGGCGGCGGGCGGGATGTGCGGCGAGTGCCCGGCCCCGCTCTATGGTCGCGGCCGCTGCCATTGGCGCAGCGCGGCCCACGTGCCGCCGGCGCACCCCGCACCGAGCCCAGGGTCCTGCTCCGCYGCCCGAGGTCCCGCTCCTCCGCCAGCGCCGCCTTGGCGGCGGGGAGCGCTCCGGGGCCACCCAGCAGCAGACAAAAGCCATGAGTCATGTCCCGCTTCCTTTCCCTGCGGCGCATCGGCCGGGGCCCGGCCCGCGCCCCCACTGAGGGGATGCGGCTGAGGAAGCGGTCGCCTTTCCTTTCCCCTCCTTCGGCTGGTAGTGGGTCCYGCTCTGTGCCCACGAGCTCGGACTGCTGCGGGCTCTCCAAGTGCAGTGGTCTCCATTCCTACTGCTCCTGGGCCYGAAAGCTGAGGCTGCGCCATGGGCCGCGATGGGGGAGGGTTTTGGCCTCACCTGTGACACTGCAGGTAGCGTCAGCCGCCTCTGTGCATGATACGAGGGGAAATTCTGCCTCTGCTGACCTGCTCTCTATGCCTGCAGTGTGGTTTTATTGCGGGTTATTTATAGACCAGGATGATCCAGCGGCCCTGAAGAGGGTTAAGCACGGGGTGCTGATGATTCTTGAGCTATAGCTGAAACGATGTGACACATAATAAATAGCACTTCCCATGATGGTTTTCCTCAACAGAAGGGAAGGTTTCGTAGCTGAAAGTGTATTTTCTTCCATTGAAAGAAAAGAAGCAAGAGAGGAGATTTTGCTGGAATGTTGGTAATAGAGAGAGCAGTTAATTTGCAAGATGAGGCAAGGGCCTTGAATTCACCAAATTTAGAGTTTGAAACATTCTCAACTCTGTGCCTGGGAAGTGAAGATTAGTGACATTCAGTCCCGAGGAGCTTGAAGGAGTCATTTATTTTCCTATCCTGTTGTGTAATGACAGAGAAAAATCTGCACACCAATATGTACTTTGTTGCTTTATTGAATGTTTTCTGTCCAGTAAGACAAGTGAAGAAGCTGCCCTGTGATTTAGTCTCCATTTTTTCTCCTGTTTCTATTCTGAGAACCATCTTAAGTTAGAAGACAGCAGATAGTAGTATGGTTTGGGGTCTTTTTTTTTATTATTATTTTTTATTCAGAAAAAGGGAAGACTACTACATGACTTGGAAGTTGTGCTTCATGCATTGTTTCATAGGTGGGTTGGGTATCCTTCTCCATGGTAAAGGAACATATTGCAGAGTTGAAGCAGGAAAGGAAGCAGTAACSTTATGTGTAGCTGTGAGTCTGCTAAAGCTCTGTGTCTCTAACCTTTTCCTGTTTAGATTTAAGCTGTTAGAAAAAAAATCTTCCTATTTATATATGAATTTTCATAAAGCCCAAATCATAGGCAGAGCCATCCACTAAAACACAACCTTTTTAAAAAAACAGTACCCTTTTACAGGGATCAGAATGATAGGCACAGGAAAACCTCTTGCTAGATGTGCAAGTAACAGTAATTGGTGGTATGTAACTGCAGGGTGGCAAGGCAGTGTAACCAGCCAGCCTGAACTTCGCCACTGCTGCAACATCACTAAGTCCAAATCATTCTCARAGGACAGTTTCCCAAGTAGCTTCTAAGAAACAGTTAAAGATTGCTCCGTGTTTGTTCTCTGTAGATCTTTCTGGTGTGTCCACAGCTGGTAGTGTGATACATACTCCTGTTTCCTCCTTTGTTGCAAGTTAAGCTGATTTTTTTTCTTTTTTTATTGGCTACTTTGTCTGCTCTCCCCCAGTTTTGCCTGATACGGTGAAAAGTTGGCATTGCTTCTTACGATTTTAAAGGTTTTTATGTTCCCTGATTTTTTCACTGATTTCACTTACCTAGACTGGCATGATGAGTGAGGAGGTTTCCCCTTGAACCAGAATTGGGTCATAATTGTGGTGGTCACAAGAATAACTTGGTTTGGTAGGTTAAGTGCAGTTTTGTTAGTCAAGTAGCTGTTTTTTTTCCATTTGGCATTAAGCTGCCTCTGAAGACATTGTGGTCTGTTAGAAGAGAACTTTGTAACCTTGGGCTTTTCATAGCTGTTATCTGAGTGGGAGCCATCCCAGACAAGACAAACTGTTTGCACGTTTTTGAAGAAAATTGAGGTGTTTTACTGGTTATAGTATTTT